GCCGGCCCTCGGGAGAGTCCCTCAGTCCTGCAGAAAGAAAGGGGAGCAAAGCCAGGGTCCAAGGAGCGTGTCCACTGTGCCTCCTAGGCCCAGGCCAGGAGGGCTCGGAAGTCCTGTATCTCCCCTTCTAGGCCAAGACAGGCCCGTGCGGGGCCTGGGGCCTGCTGGTGAGGGGAGTTTAATTGGCACTGCAGCTTCCTGTGAGAACCAGGAAGTGACATTGTGTGTGAGGGGGAGGGGTGGGATGGCTGGCTCCCTTTCTGGGAGCGGGGGCGGGGTGGGCACAAGGGAAACCATGAGGAATTAGAGGTGAACACCTCCCAGGCGGTCAGTACCCTTATTGCCACCTCTGGGTGGGGCTTTCCTGGGACACTTTCTGATGCTCAACTCCTGGAGCAGGGATGGTGTCCGCCATCTCTGGGCAGCTTGTAGCCTGTGGCAGGGGCCACTGGTGGTGTGGGCCGAGCCCCTGACTCCATCCAGGGAAGCAGGGGGGCACCGTCTTGCTGCAGGAAGGACTGAGGGCCTGGCCTCATAACGCTGGGTCTCCCAGGCTCCAGGGCAGGTCGGGAGGGCAGAGCCATGGGTCCCCGAGGGTGAGGCTGTTGCAGGGCTGGGAAGATTCACCAGCTTTCTTGAGGCCCAGGAAGTGATCCTTCCCACTTCACCCCTGCAGTGACTCACCCTCCCTTCCTGCTCTGAAGCCAGGAAATGGCCAGCTGCTCAGCCGCTCTCCCCGCACCCCCTCTGCACGAGGCTCTCCCTCTAGGATCTCCATGCCAGCTGCCCTCCCTACCGGCAACCTCCCCTGACCCCACGCCCACCAGGGTTGCCCTCCCAGGCAGGGTGCTCCTGGGTGCAGGCTCAGCTGTATCCCCTTGTCAGTGCCACCTGGCTGCACACAGGCCTCAGCCCTGCTCCTTCTCCCGGGAGGTAGTGCCCACCTGATACCCTGGCTCCTACCTCCAGCTCTGCCAGGTTCCTGGGCACAGATCCAACCATACTGTGCCTGTCTCACACCATTATTTCCCTCATGCCCAGCCCAGAGCTGTGCATCTCAGACCCAAATAACAATGCCGGGGACGTTATGAAGAGAGTGAACGTGGCAGTGGCTGCTGCTGTGACCTCATCCCCCAAACCCTGCTGCTTGATGTAAAACAAATATTTCTGTCTTTGGAGCCAGATGGTCCTAGGTTCAAACTCTTACTTCATCAGTAATTAGCTGTGCAACCTTGGGGAAGTCTCCTAACCACTCTGGGCCTCAGATGCCACATCATCCCTGTTTTAGATTTAATGACAAAACCTAAAATGGTGATGGCCTTACCCATGTCTAGCACACAAACAGCTCTGTCCTGATGAGACCCTTCCTGTCCCTCTCTTTGCTATTGACTGGCTAGGTTCCAATTCTTTCTCTTGTCCGACAGGAGACCTGAGCCTTGAGTGTGTGTGGGAAGGAGGGAATTCTCCTTGGCCTGCCTGGAGAGGCAGAGGTTTTAGGGGACTGGAGGAGGCTTAGAGCTGGGGGCTGAGGGATAGAGTTGTGGGGAGTCAGGGATGTGGTGAAGGCCCAGAAACCCCTCAGGCCCTGCTGCCTCATCACTGTCACATGGTTCCCCGCTGCCAGCTCCCAAAACAGCTTCCTTTAGCAGGCCGCTGGCTCCCCTGGGCCCTGGCCTTCCCGTCTCCATGGTAACCTGCAGCAGCCTCTGTACCTCCTCTCAGGGAGCACACCATGGGGCTCCCGGAGGCAATGACCAGCCCTGTAGCACCCCTGAGGACAGATGGCAGGTGGCTGCCTCACTGAACCCAGCCCCAGGCCCCCACTGAGGTCTGACCCAGATGACCAAAAGGACTAGTCATGTGGAAGGGGGTGTGCTCCGCAGCCCCGCTAGTGCCCTGGACACAGCTCCCCCGGCCTTACCGGCCTTCCTGTTAATGGCCCAGCTCCTCCCCACTCCTGCCCAGTAGCCCGTACGCCCTCGGCTTCTCCCAGTCCTGCCAGGATCTGAACCAAAAGTGAATGAGGCAGGTGCTAGGATTACTGCTGGCACCTGGGAAGTTTTTTTTTCTCTGGGAAGAGTGACCCAAGGCCACGCGAGTGTCACAGGGAACAGGTTTTGATTCCAGCAGGCTGCCACCCCTAGTGCATCCCCATCACTGAGCTGGCTCTGGTCTCAGGCCAGACCAGCTCTAAGCCCAAAGGAAAGGGGGCCCCACTGTGCCACTGCCCAGGAGCCTCAGAGCCCAGTACTCCAGCGCCGGAGCCTTGCAGAGTGGAGGACAGAGGGCGGAGGGGGCTGTGCTGCTCAGGACCTCAGTCATCATGACAGCCACCAGGAGGCCACCAGATGTAGCAGATGGAGCAAGGGCTTTAGAATCAGACATACCTGCTTGGGCCCTCATGAGCCACGTGACTCTAAACAGATCAGTCAACTTCTCAGAGCCTAAGTTTCCCTATCTGTAAATGAGGATGATGGTGACAGGAAGAGGACCCAACTCCCAGGGCTGTGGCGGGGATGGATGCTTGGCACGTGATAGGGCTTGGTGAACAGGAAGAAAAAGGACAGTGCCGGGACTAGCAGCTGGTGTAATGGTTATGTCGCCGGACTCCCACGTAGTTGACTGTGGTTCGAGTCCCGGACCTGGTGGCTTAAAACTCACACCAGACGCATGTGCATGTATGCCCAAAATCCCAAAAGGAGATTGGAGGAGAAGGGACTACAGTATGGCCATCCCTCTTAGGGCATTATTTTTCACTTTCTGCTTCCCTAGCAAGTGCATGCACTCTATAGCAAAAATGTCTCTTAAAAAAAAAAGAAAAAGGACAGAGTCAAGTGGCTCCAGTACACCTGGACATGCTAGCGCTGCTCTGCCACCCACGACAGGGACAGGGCAATAGTGGGTGTTAGGAGCTGAGTCTTCATCCCTGCCCCACTTCACCGCAGGGATGGTAGGTGGAGGCTGCAGGGGAGGGGTTGCAGAAGGAGTCAAGGCACTGAGCAGACTGGAGGGAGGGGCAGGGGCTGCTTGTCTCCAGTCCCTGGACCCCACTGGTTCCCTGTGGCTCCCTCCCTGCCTAAGAAGCCAGGTATCTGGGCCTCCGAATCCCTCTCAGCTGCTGGCACCTGGGAAGAGTGACCCAAGGCCACGCGAGTGTCACAGGGAACAGGTTTTGATTCCAGCAGGCTGCCACCCCTAGTGCATCCCCATCACTGAGCTGGCTCTGGTCTCAGGCCAGACCAGCTCTAAGCCCAAAGGAAAGGGGGCCCCACTGTGCCACTGCCCAGGAGCCTCAGAGCCCAGTACTCCAGCGCCGGAGCCTTGCAGAGTGGAGGACAGAGGGCGGAGGGGGCTGTGCTGCTCAGGACCTCAGTCATCATGACAGCCACCAGGAGGCCACCAGATGTAGCAGATGGAGCAAGGGCTTTAGAATCAGACATACCTGCTTGGGCCCTCATGAGCCACGTGACTCTAAACAGATCAGTCAACTTCTCAGAGCCTAAGTTTCCCTATCTGTAAATGAGGATGATGGTGACAGGAAGAGGACCCAACTCCCAGGGCTGTGGCGGGGATGGATGCTTGGCACGTGATAGGGCTTGGTGAACAGGAAGAAAAAGGACAGTGCCGGGACTAGCAGCTGGTGTAATGGTTATGTCGCCGGACTCCCACGTAGTTGACTGTGGTTCGAGTCCCGGACCTGGTGGCTTAAAACTCACACCAGACGCATGTGCATGTATGCCCAAAATCCCAAAAGGAGATTGGAGGAGAAGGGACTACAGTATGGCCATCCCTCTTAGGGCATTATTTTTCACTTTCTGCTTCCCTAGCAAGTGCATGCACTCTATAGCAAAAATGTCTCTTAAAAAAAAAAGAAAAAGGACAGAGTCAAGTGGCTCCAGTACACCTGGACATGCTAGCGCTGCTCTGCCACCCACGACAGGGACAGGGCAATAGTGGGTGTTAGGAGCTGAGTCTTCATCCCTGCCCCACTTCACCGCAGGGATGGTAGGTGGAGGCTGCAGGGGAGGGGTTGCAGAAGGAGTCAAGGCACTGAGCAGACTGGAGGGAGGGGCAGGGGCTGCTTGTCTCCAGTCCCTGGACCCCACTGGTTCCCTGTGGCTCCCTCCCTGCCTAAGAAGCCAGGTATCTGGGCCTCCGAATCCCTCTCAGGGATCTGCCATCAATGCCCCCACCCACCTATTCTGTGTGTCAGACCCACGCCCTGCACTTCCTCCTGCCCAGCTCTGCACTGCCTGGTCTGAGCAGCTGCTGTGTGGGTGGCCGAGCCAGGAAGGGAAAGGGGGAAGAGGTACGTCCGTGTGTGGAGAGCCCACCTGGCCACCCATGCATGCCCACGCCCCAGTGCCAACTCACGTGCCCTGGCACAGGGGACACTCCCATCCCCATATAGCACTGACGGTTGTTCCAGCAGCAGCAGGTCAGTGGTGCTAACCAGTCTCCAACCCCCACAGAGACTGCAACTCTGATAGGTGGCCAGGGAGGAAGGGGAGCTGGGACTGCCCCCCATCTTGGTGCCTCACCTTTCTACTGTTTCATTCTCTTGTACCTCATTCTCGAAGCTCTGTTTCTCTGCCTGTCACCCTCCCTCCCCACCTGTTACCCTTTCACGCCACCTGACAGGGCACTTCTACCGTCAGTATAGTCTCACCTGTCTTCGCTCCTTCCCTCTGCCACCTGCCACACCCATGCGCCACACCCATGCCCTTCTGACCTCCCTGTGCCCTGTGCCTGCTGCTCCCCCCGCCTGATTCCCTTCTCATACCACCTATCTTCTCACCCGACCCCAGGTTCTCTGTGAAAACACTGCTGGAGAAGTACACGGCGGAGCCCATCGACGACTCCTCCGAGGAGTTTGTAAATTTCGCGGCCATTTTGGAGCAGATCCTCAGTCACCGTTTCAAAGGTGGGCCCAGGTTCCAGCCCTAAGGCTCAGCAGCCCTCCCAGGTCCTGGCAGCTTCCAGCCACACTCTGTGATATACTTTAAGGATTTCTGAACCCCACCCTTGACCCTGGCCCCATTCTAGGCCAGGCACAGTTCATTGCCAGAGCTGGGAAGAAAGGAGGGTCTTTCGGCCCCAGTACCTGTCAGTGGTGGACATGCAGCTGCATGCCTCAGGCCCTTTGCACACCCGCATGTGTGTGCGCACGACTGGGAGCACCAGTGTGTGCATGGCTGCTTATGCATGTGAGTGTCTACATGTGGGACCTTCTCCCAACTCCCTGGCCTTGCTGAGCCCCCTCCCTGCCCTGGCTCAGCCTGTGCCCCAGCAGGTCCAGTGAGCTGGTTCAGCTCAGACGGCCAGCGGGGCTTCTGGGACTACATCCGCCTGGCCTGCAGCAAAGTGCCCAACAACTGTGTGAGCAGCATTGAGAACATGGAGAACATCAGCACAGCCCGGGCCAAGGTCAGAGCCCAGGGTGGGCAGCGCCCCCTGCTCCTGAGGGGGCCTCTACTGCCCCGTGGGTCTCACCTCTCTCACACTCTGGGGAGAAGGGCCGCAGGAGGCCACACCCAATGCTGGGCACTCTGGGACAGAAAGTAAAGGTGGCCATGCTTTCCAGGGCCGGGCATGGATCCGGGTGGCACTGATGGAGAAGCGCATGTCGGAGTACATCACCACGGCCCTGCGGGACACGCGGACCACCAGGTCAGCCCTGTCTGCACGCGCGTTGCCCAAATACAGGCGACCCTGAAGGCTCTGGGTGCCCCCGGATGTGGTGGGGAAGGGCTGGCTCAGAGAATGGAGGGCCTCTTCTGCGGACACCTGACAATAGTAGGGACAGACCCAGCGAGATTTGACAAGGTCCCACCTGAGTGGTGGGCAGGAGGGAGCCATCTTTCCTCTAGGAAACGTTTGTGGGAAGTCAACAAGAGAAGTCCTTCCAGGTGGGGGCTCCCCGGAAGGTGCTGCACTCACCCCCTTGTCTCTCTGCAGACGGTTCTATGACTCTGGAGCCATTATGCTAAGGGAGGAAGCCACTGTCCTCACCGGGATGCTGATCGGATTGAGCGCCATCGACTTCAGGTGGGGTCTGAGCGGTGGTGGTGGGGGGCGGAGAGGGCTCCCTCTCCCACACTTTAGCCTATCCGCTCATATGGGCCCCCGACACTGCCCCAGCTTCTGCCTAAAGGGCGAAGTCCTGGACGGGAAGACCCCCGTGGTCATCGATTACACGCCCTACCTGAAGTTCACGCAGAGGTGAGCAGCCGGATTGGATTATTGCGATGGCTGTGGCTATGGAGCCGGGCATCCTGGCCCCCCTACGCACCCTGGGTGGCGTGGGACGCGCAGGCGGGGCAAGGGCCCGTCGTGCCCACTGCTCGCTCCCCACAAGCT